AATTTAACATAATTTTTTTAAATCAATTATAAATTTTATAATTAATAAAATTTAATCCACACCTTAAAAATATAATTTATATAAACCCTTTAAAAAGAAAAAAATACAAGAAGCACGAGGCATGCCTCAGACAATAGCAAAATGTTACAAGAGAAGGAATATGATTGCGATCCATTGCCTATTTTCAAAAAAAAATTGATTGCGCAGACAATCGAAACATATTGATTAATCGCCCAGAGAATCAAAACATGATTCCCAGACAAGCCCTAAAGGACAGCAAAACAACTTAAAAAATTAATATCGGTCACAAAATGACAGAACCATTTGCAGCGTCAAGAGTGACAGCGAAAAGATAAGTCGGTAAACAAAACACTTAATATGCTTTGGGAAGCAAGCCAACGAGGGGTTGGATTAAATAGCCAATGATTTGTTCCAACTTAAGCAAAATCTTGAGTTCGAGTCCTTGCGTATGCAGCAGCTTTCGTTGAGATACTCACCCATTATTTCTAGATGCGCAACTTGAGTCGGATCTGGATTAGTCGGGATGAAACCCCGGATACCAGACGAAAAACCGAAAAAAAAAAAAAAATATATGCTTTGGGAAGCTGCAGCACGTCTGAGAAGTTACTCCGTTTGATACAGTTCGTAATTTTAGAGTCAAAAAAAACTTTTTTTACAATCTACGCCAAACGGGGCACTAAATATTGGAATGAACTGTACCGAGGGAGTGATTAACTCATGTCTTATCTTTTTATATCGATATACCAATGGCTTAATTTAATGAGAAGTTTATTAACCATAAGTTCAATATTAATTTAGTTTAGAAATTTTAATTTTCTCTAGATGATTTATAAATTTTGTGAAATATATCAAAATGGTTTATTGTACCAAATTTTTATCAGGCTTAACAGAAAATAAAAGAAATGGTTAACTTCATTTAAAGTGTAATAGTCTTTTAAATTTTGAAAAATTTTTAAAAATTTTGGTATTAGAGCAAAAAAAATTTTAATCTTATTAATAAGATAATTAAAAGAATTATTAAGATTTTGTGAAGATCAAATATATTTTGTCTTTTTTTTTTCTAACATGAGGGAATTATGGGAGAGAAGAAATTTTTTTAAGTGGTTGGTGGAAATTGAACTCCCCATCAAAACTTTTAAAAATTTTGGTATTAGAGCAAAAAAAAAAATTAATCTTACTAATAAGATAATTAAAAGAATTATTAAGATTTTGTGAAGATCAAATATATTTTGTTTTTTTTTTTTTCTAACATGAGGAAATTATGAAAGAAAAGAAATAAATTTTTTTAATTAATTAGTGAAAATTATACTCTCAATCAATTCAACTCAAACACTAAAGTTTGGGAACGAATCATTAGCTTCGAATGCTTGATTCAAATGTATTTTATCTTAAAAAGAATAAGAATAGAGGAACAAATACCATATAGACTGAAAAGCATGCATACTTATAGTTATATGGTACAAACATCTGAGTTAAAAAAAGCAGTTAAAAGATTTAGCATTTTGAGCTGACAGCTACAACCTGAAAGGGAAAAGAGCTAGTTTTTTAACAAAATTAATTTCAAGAATTACAAATTTATTAAAGATATAGTTGAAGGTTGATTTAAAAAAATTAACCATTAAGTTAATTAACTAGACTAAACTAATATGAATGTAAAAGATAATAGATAGAATTAGAATAAATACAGAAGTTATTACACAATTCATTAAATTAAGTCATATATAAATATATAAAATTACCATAATAATTAAATACTTTTTAAAATTTTAAAACAAATACTCAATAGACTTTAAAAAAAATTAAAATTCTCAATGAATATCTAATGTGTGTTTTTTTTTAAAAAAAATACCAACTAAAGAGCACTTCAAATCTAACATGAGGGTTGGGAACCACACATTAAGAAATTAATAGAAAGCAAGAAATTAATTCAATTATAACTATATAATAGGGGTGTGTGATTCATAGATTAATAAGTATAGATGTGGTGGCTATGCCACATATTTGCTCTCCTCTTTTTTTCTTATTTTATTTGTCTCATTAACCATAATTATAAAAAAAAATACATATCAATTTTATCTCTTAAAAATTAAGAAAAAAAATCTCTCCCAAACTAATTTTTAAAAGATAAGATAAATAATTAGTAGTCTTTAAAAAAATATAAAATAACTAACGAATAATTACCAATTATTGAGTTCTGGAATGTTGATATTTAACAAATTAATAACTCTTGAAGTACCATAAAAAATCAAGAAATAATTCTAATTAAGTACTACTCTATTTCAATATATAGGACCTTATTTGTTAGTAATTTTTACAAATTTTCTTTAACATAACACATTATCCAAAAATGTGGGGATAAAGTCGGAAAAAAGAATTAATGATGCACTGGTTTTCTCAAAACGTCAACTGACTTGAAACAAAATTTCTTCTCTAAAATGTTATCTTTTTTTTTTTTAATATAGAAATGTTATCTATTTTGAAACAGACGGGTGTAAATCAACTTTAATGCAAAATTAAAAACTCTAATTATATTAAAAATATTTTTTACATTAACTACTACAATTCAATCTTAAATAAGACTCAGTATATCCTATTCATAAAAAATGAAATCTTCTTATTCTACACTACTTGTTAGCATATATACCCTTCATCCGCCGTTTCTATTCCACTCAGCTTTGTTTGTTTTATTGATCTCGACACTTTTATTGCTTTTAGCAATTTCATATTTTTCTCTTGTTTCGTTTATTGGATTGCAATCGACCCTAATTCCCACACCTTTAATAAGTTGATTAAAAAGACAATTTTATCTTAGAATCGTATCAAATTTTCATCATATATGAAATGTAGGTTTTTATCAATATATATATATGAAATGTAGTTGCTCCAAGGAAGGATGAGCTAACAAATCGTTTTAATGCAGCTGGTATTGATATCAATAATCCTAATTTATGTTTTTTTATTAGTTCAATATTTTAATAAAAGAACTAAAAAATGGAAAGTAATTAATAAAGAATTGTGTGGGCAGAAACAAAAATTGTAATAATGTACTAAAACATGATTAAGTGACACTTGAATTATAATAAAATACTAATTAAAAAATAGCACATGTACTCATGGTCTAAATTTATATATATTTTTTATAGAAATTTGTCTTTATTTTTTAAAAATAAAAAAGATTAAATTTGTGTGCTTAAATTAATCTTTTCTCATATCTACCATTCAAACATTTTTTTTATGAATTATTACATTTAAAATTTAATAATTATCAAAAAAACATAGTTTAATATATACTTTTAATTAATCATTAATACAAAAATTTATAATTAATAAACACCTAACCAAAGCTAATATAGAAAAAGTCTACAAAACACACTTTTTAGTCCTTTTAATATCTCTAGTTATATATACATAATTGTTATTTATACCTATTATATGATCATATTTATATTCTTTAATCTTTGTATTCATTTGTATATTGTCTAGCACACGACATTATATATGGAATAATTGAAAACTTACATTAATGTCAATTCCCACAGCACCAAGATTGTCATTAATGGGTTCTTTATCCACAGCTATGCTGTTTCAAATTTGTTGGAGGGCGTAGGACAATCTTGTAATAAGAGTTACCATTTGTTTTACGCAGTGGGGAGGAAGATATGATGAATGACCTACCGGAGATGATAGAGAGAAAAACGTGGTGGAAGAAAGGAAGGATATATACCTGGATGTGATGGCATGAAAAGTCAGGGAGGTACACAACGAAATCAGTTTAATCATGAAGCATTATCAAAGAAAAGAAGGGAGCAGCAGTTTAATTGCAAGAAAATTTGGAGAACCCCTACAACACCTAAAGTGTTTTTTCCTGGCAGTTGTTGCAAGATGGACTTCCCACTAAAGTTAATTTTGAGAAAAGGAAGAATTGTGGATGATAACTAATAGTGATTTAAGCTGCCGTTGGTGCAATTCCTTGACAGTGCTCCTTTTCCGGTTAAGTGTCATTTTGCCTATGAGGTGTTAAGTTATAACTTATAGGTTGTGGGGTATGTATTATGTGTTGGACAATACCTCTATTGGGGCACGGTTATGGCCATTGACAATAATGTTATGGAAATGAAAATTGTAAAATATTATTTTTAAAAATACTAATTTAATTTAATTTGATAGATAAAAATGTTATTAACTGTAACTATTAAATAATAATTAATAAAACTGTTGATATCTATTAGTTAATAAATTCAAATCAATTAACAAACCAATATGTTCAAATATTATTTAAAAATTTAAATCTAAAATTTTAGTGACTTTAAT